AAGGTTTTTTAAATAATTCGAATTTTATCAAAATCTAATATTATTTTTATGTGTCAAATACTTTAGAATTATTTAAGTTATGTAAACGTAATTCGTAGTGTGGTGTAACAAGGAATCATATTTTACATCCCAATGATAATAAACTTACCATTTTATACAGCGTGTCCACAAATTTAAACTAATCAAATAAGAACTTTAAGTGGCTGTAACTTGATTAATTTAAATCAACCCCATATTTTTTAGCTTACCAGGAAATACAATTTTTAATTACCTATCGAATGGTACTAGGAGGTTGATAACTAAGTTTTTGGCTTTTTAAAAAATACACCAAATAATGGTTCTGTGCACCATTTGTTGTTTTTTTTTAATTAAAAGGTTAAATAAAATATCAACAAAAACATAAAACAAAGGCAAATTATTTATAACAAATGTTCGAAATGTTGACCGTCCATTTCCAGGCACTTGTAAATTCTTTTTTTAAAACCACTGCTAACTCTGGACAACATTTGCGGAGTTACAGTTTTAAAAGGGTCTCTTATGCGTGTTTTCATATCATGTGAAGTTGTCGGAAGCGTATGGTAGACAATTTCTTTTATGTACCCCCACAAAAAGAAATCTAGTGGAGTTAAGTCCGGAGATCTGGGGGGGCAATTTTGAAACCCATTTCTGCTAATCCACCTGTTTTGAAAGTTGGCATTTAAAAATTGCCGAACTTCGCAGTGATAATGAGGCGGAGCTCCATCCAATTGAAGCGACATGTTGGTTCTAATATTGAAAGGGACTTCTTCTAATAATATTGAGCTGGTTTATTAGAAACTGGAGAAACAACAAACTATTTAGATGTCCTTCAAAAAAATAGGGTCCAATTAAGTATCGGCCCAGTATTCCACCCCACAAATTAACTGATCACCTATTTTTTTCGTGACCCTGTATGCGCACGGAGTCGTATCAGAATAATAATGAAAGTTGTGTCTATTCACGAGACCATTGTTATGAACAGTACATTCAACACTAAATAACACATTTTCGAAAAACTTTTAATTTTCTGCCACTTTATCTAACACCCACATGCAAAACTCAGTTCGGTTTTCAA